CTGTGTCTCTGTCTGTGTCTCTCTCTGTCTCTCTGTCTGTCTGTCAAATCTGGCCGCCCACATCTGGGTGTCTCTACACAAGCACTGCGTGAGTGTTGGAGGATGGGGGGGGTGCACCCTGCCCCTTGCGGGGTGCGTCATGGCTTAGAGCAAGAGCCCACACATGTGGGGATGGTGCAATTAATCTTTCTGTTAATAATCTAATCTCACGGTTGTTTACCTGTTTCGGTGAGTGCAGCTCTCCCAGAATGTATGCGGGTACAAAAGGGCTTCCAGCAGCACCCTCGCCCGCCCAGGCCGTGCAGGCAGGTGAGAGGGGACGCATCTCCCGTGGGCGAAGGCAGGAGGCGGGTGTTTGCCTTGCTCCCCACCGGTCAGTGCAGCTCTGGTTCCCTGGGCATCGGTACCGCCAGCCGCAGCCCGACACAGAAAACCTGCAGAGCTGCTGCCCGCCGGCCTGGGGACGGCACGCAGATGTTGCACAGGTGATGGCCACTCTCCAGGAGAGCTGCGTCAGCCCTATAATCAATTACAGAGGCATTTACTCTTCAATAATTGCAGTAATTCCACTTTAATAATTTAACCGCCACAAATACTTATTGCACAGTCTGTTGCACGTAAGTCCTGCGTGATTGATGATGCTGGTTTACATTTCTTTACATTCCTATCCAGGCTGAAATCAAGAATGATGCAAGAATTACCTTTCAAAATGCTGCTCATGTTATCCTACCGCCCACCAGGCGGGTGGGAGGCTGTGGGGGCCACCAGGAGCAGCCCAGGGCCGCTGCGTCCTTCCTCCCTGGCCACTGCTTGTGCCTGTCAAAGGCCTGAAGGTTTTGCTTTGCAGCCCGGGCAATGCTGCCAAGCCCTGACAAAGTACCAGGGGTGGCTGGGGGTGCACAGGGAAGGCTTGGCAACAGCCAGGCTATTTATGAAAGCCTGTTTCCTGGAGGAGCCAATTACTGATTTTGTGGTCACCTTCCCCAGACATGCACAGAAAAAATAATGGGAAATTTTTAATTATGGTGTTACGATCCAATTCTGTTTGGATGAGAGGAAGGCCCCCTTGCTTTCTAGCCAACCTCAGACGAGTCTGGGAGGCTAGGGGCGGCTAGACCAACCTCTCAGGTTTCGTTTCAGGTTCGATCCCTTCGAGCAAGATTAAGATGCAAACAAGGTCAGATGTCATAAGTCCACCGGTTTATTAACTGTTCGGGGGAAGAGAGAAAGCAGCGATAGGAAAGGAAGGAAGAAAAGATAAGAAATAATGCGAGAGGTCCAGATAGAAGAGAGCAGACAGTCACCACCATAGATCCGCAGTGTCCCAGGGGTTCGTGCCTCTTCAGTGATCTCACACGGAATCTTCAGTGGTCTCTCACGAGGTCGGTGATCTTCCTCCGGCGTCTTTGATGGTCTTCCACGAGGTCCCCCCGCAGTCTGAGACTGAAGCCTTTCTTATAGAGCACAGTCCAGCATGTGCGCACATATTTCACGTGCTTTACTTTTGGCAGGCTTCGTTCACACACTTTCTTGTTGCTGGGCAGGGGCAGGGGCAGGGTTCTGCTTGCACGCTTTAAGTGGCAGCAAACTGCAAGCCTTGGTGGGCAGGCAGCCCCGCCTGGGTGTCCACTGCCTCAGCCAGCCTGCAAGCCACCTTGCCTGTGGCAATGCTGATCTTCACACATTGCCAAACAAAGGAGCAAGCTTTGAGACAGTTAGCTGGCTATTCAGTGTCCCACATATGGGAAACAGCATTTCACTGGATTTGTAATTTTCAGGATCATAGGAATCAACCTACTGATGGGTGCTGATACTGCACAGCCCCGTGGGAACATGAGCACTGGTGGAAATGCTGTCTGCACCCTGGAGTACAAGTGGAGATGTGGTGCAAGACAACCCACGATAACACCCCAGCATAGCCTTAAAGGTAGGTCCTGAAATGCCTTTTCAGAATTTGGTGGTGGAAAAGACCCCAGGAGCCATCCTTATCTTGTCTCTTGCTGGATGCATCCCAGAACTGATCATCAAAGTCTTTAAAAGTAAGAGGAAGAAATGTTGAATACTGGCAGCACACATGAAGACTCGCTCTTGCAAGGAGCAGTGCAATCATTTCACAGTGACAGAAAGTGTCCCCAGACCCTGGGCATGGCAAACCTCTTGCACATGTCTGACGGAAAATGTGGTTGAAAGCATAAAAATCAGGAAAGATCAAAGTTTGTAGCCAAGCAAAGGAAGAGGAGGAAGACCGGTCGTGGCAGGTGAGGACCAAAGAGAGCCGCGTTTTCTCTCCAGCGTGCTCAGGGACTAGTTTTCTCCAATTTCCATTTTTGCAGTATGTCGTTTGCTGCCTTCAGTGTGGCTTCCTCCTAAAAAAATACTGCAGGTTAGGCCAGTGGCTTCCAGCTAAATCCCTTTTCCCATTGTTCCTATAAAAATCCCATTCTCATTCTGGAACATTGCAAATACCCCATGTTCAGTATGACGTAGGCATGGCCATCTCTGGGGCAAGCATAGCCACTGGGCAGCTAAACATACACCCAGAATACTCCCTGCCTTGACCAAGAAATGTGGGATGCTGATGGCATGGATGGAAAGCTTAGGAAGGCATTGACACACCTCCTGCCCCCGGCTTGGCTCACGTCTGCAGGAGGGGGTTGGACCAGCTGTGGTGCCCTGCTCAGGCTCTAATGCCAAAGGTGCTCTGTATTTCTTCTTGGCATTTATCTCATTAAACCAGCCCTGATTATTACTCCCAACCTCACCTTCCTTTGTGCTGCCTTTGACAGATCTCACCTTTGCGAAGCAGAACCGGATGAAATGGTTATAGTTGTTCTTGTGGGCCCCACAGTAGAAAGCAGAGAGTGGGATGGCAGCAAGTCCCTAGGAAGGCGAAACACGTGGAGCTGAGGTTACCCTTTCTGGGCTGGTGTGAAGCCATCTGCTTATTGCTCGCAAGTCTCACGGATGGACTTGCAGATGCCCTTCGTGCCCTGCCTACTCATTCTGCTTGAGCTCAGGCTGCCAGAGTTGAGGCCAGCTGCTGACAGACACCCCCCGGGTGAGCTGCCGGACTCAGCAGTGGTGGTGTGCTGCTGTCTCCTGTGAACACAGCCAGCAGGGAGGACACAAACCCACCCGGGGTAAATGCAGCAGAAAGGGCCAGATGCATTTACCTTGTTCTTGACCATCCACTTTGCAAATCTGGAGTCATAGGGCTCATCTGAGTCAGCGACATCAGGGACATCAGATTCTGGAGGAGAAGCACAGCAGTGTGGAGGTGGGAGCTGCTGCCGTGTGCCCTCAGCCAAGCCCCAAACCAACGGCTTCTGGGAGCTCGGATCAGAAACACGCTATTGTCCATCCCTGCTTTGGTGGTGGTCTATGCATGTTCCTGTCCCTGCTAGTGTACCACTCCGAGCTGGACCCCCCAGCCCTGCCCAAGCAAAACCACAGCTGCATGACTCACTGAACTCGGAGATGTCTGCAACCAAGAAATAGGTGCCCTCGGGAACGATGGGTTTCATCCCCACAGCGTCCAGGCTCTGGACCAGCCAGTCTCTCTTCTGCTGCAGCTCCTTGGGCAGTTGGATGAAGTAGCTTTCTGGTTTCCCATAAAGCTCGAGTTCCCTCTGGAAACCCTGAGCCACGGCCTCCTGCGAGGAGAGAGGAAGCCGGTGGGAAGATGGTCAAGGCTTGCTGGAGAACCGCAGTCTTTGCTGTGATGCAATTCACAGGTGACTAGGGAGCAGGGGGGGATTTCTCAATGCACCAAGCCAAGCTCACTGCCTCCAGCCCCTCCAAATGGCCCCTTGGATTTGTCAATGCAAAATAAGGAATATACCCCAGGCAGGCTGGACTCTCCCCTTCCTCTCAGGCATGGGGCAACTGCAGGAAAAGAGGAAGAAGCCTCTCCAGGGCACCACACATCACCCTGTCTGTGCCTTTCAGGTCAGCCATGGGCAGAAGGGCCTTCTGCCACCCCTGCTTTGGGGATTTGGGAATCGCAGGGAGCTGCCTTACCTGGGCAACTGTGGCGCAGTGGTACACTGAGTTTTGGTGCACAGTACGGAGGTGCTGCAGCAGCCGGTTGGGTCCCATGGTCCAGCCCACCTGCAGCCAGGAGAGGAGGATGAAGGTGGTAAGTCTCCGGGTACCTGCTTGGGCTCCCCTTTGTTTGCCTGTGCTGGCTTTGTTGTGTTTTCCAGACAGGGCTATCATAAAGCAGCTTTGGTACTTTCAGACCTGACTCAAAGCTGAGTGTGTGGCAGCGGTGTCCCCTGTGCCGTGCTATGGCAGTGGGACCCGTGCCCTGGAGCAAAGGGATGGGGATGGAGTGACAACAAGGTGCCACACAGGGGAATTCACCTTCCATCCAGTGGCACTGAAGGTTTTCCCAGCACTCCCGATGATTACTGTGCGGTCCCACATCCCTTGCAAGCTGGCTGGCAACAAAACAAAAGAGAAACAATGATGGCAGAACTCAGTGTGCTCACTTCTGTGCTGCATTAATAACATGGTGGGAGCTCTTTGCCCACCATAACCCATGGTGGCCTCTTGTGTTCACAGCACATCTTTCACCTGGATCAAGCCTCAATGCACATCCCAAGCAGGCAGCCAGGTTTCTCAAGAGCATCTCATTGTAATTAAGTGTTTTCATATGCATGTACCCAGCCCCAGGGGTTCCCAGAGGTGCCAAGCACCATCACCCTGCAACAAGGTGATCGCATGTTACTGCAACGGGAAGAACGGGCCTCTGAAATCATGTTGAAATGGATGTCCCAAAATTAGAGACACCAGAAAACTGTGGGTTTTCAATGTGTGGGGAAAAAAATACAGTTTTTCTGGAGCCAAAGGGCTCTCTACTCTGGATCTCACACTGTGAAGCCAACTCTCTGTTTCCTCTGACTGGCTCTGGAAGTCAGGGCTCCAATCTAACACCTGGTTTTGAGGCTGAGACTGAAGTGCAGCAAAATACCTCTAATGGGGATACATCCCTGGTAGAGCTGTGCATGCAAGCAGCCCGTGTAATTTCCAGGGGAGCCCAGTTAAATCACGAGTTGCTTCCCTGAAGATGCTGTACCCAGAGAAGACACCCAAGCTCAGCCAAGCCATTCTCCGTACCAATGCGGATGTGCTCCTTCCCATCGTAGACCAGCCACTCGTACACTTCATCGCTGATGCACAGGACGTCGTGCTTCACACACAGATCTGCAATGAGCTCCAGCTCCCCTCGGCTGAACACCTGAAGCAGGCAAGGAGCGGAGCAGGGATGCAGCAGGAGCATTTCTGAGCCCCTGCCTGTCCCTGCCTCTCTGCAAAGGCTGCACACCCTGCCTGCACCATCTCCCAAGCCAGGCTGGGCAGGAGCTGGCTGCAATGGTCTAACAGGGAAAAGCCACTGCTGGCACAAAAGACCAGGCTTAAAATCACCAAAAGAGTGAGTGCAGCATGCAATGCTGCCACAACACCCATTTCCCTTGTGTGCAAGGAAGGTCAAGTCACTGCTACACTGCAAAAGTGGCTGGGTGAGCTGTAGCACCTTGGCCACTTCCAGGCCCAGCCACAACAAGGCCAGAGGTGTTACCTTGCCCAGAGGGTTGTTGGGTGAATTCAGGACGATGGCTTTTGTCCGTTCACTGAATTTGGAAGCCAGTTCAGCTGGGTCCAGCTGCCAGTCTGCACTAGACATCAATTTTCCATCTTTTGGAGCTTTCTAGAGAGAACAGAGGGGAATATCGGCTTGCTTTACTACCTCTGCACCTTGCTTACCACTCACCTCTTTGCTCCCTTTGCTACGACTCTTCCCTCCTTGACAGCTTTGCTCCGACCCACTCACCGGTCTCAGTGGGACAAAGACGGGCATTCCACCAGCCATTTTCACCATTGGCTCATAGCAGTCGAAAAAAGGCTCAATGATTATCACCTGGAAGAAAGGGACATGTCAGCACCTCCTGGCCCTGCTCAGACCTTCCCTGATGGGTGCAGAGAGCAAGGGGAGGGATAGGAAAATTATAATCCTGGAATTATTGTAATGGAGAACCTGCATTGCCAGTGGGCAGTGTCAGGGAAGAACAACATCACTCAGGGCAGAAGGGTTATCTTGGCTTATGCAGAAATGAGACAGTACCCTGCAGCAGATTTTTTTTTCCTTTGGAAGCTCAAATATTGGATAATGGGGATAAAACCTTTTCTGCTTTGCAAAAGGACTATGTAAACCTACCCCTGGCAGACCCACAGCCAGGAAGGGCTCTCCTGGGGGAAGGCTGCCTGCGCAACAAGCCCAAATCTTGGGTTACCTCATCGCCTTCATCAACAAAAGCCTGGAAGCAGCAGAAAAGGGCCTGGTACGCCCCCACAGTCACCATCACATTGGTCATAGGATCCAGGTCTTGTCCAAGCAGCTTCCCAAAATACTGGGCTAGGATCTTCACCAGAGGTGGGTGGCCCTGTGGGGTGAGAGGAGGGGTGGGATTTGGGTTGCAGAAGCCTCGTAAAACATGGATGAGCCCTTGGAAGGGGCCTGAGCAGCCAAGTGCCCTGTGACTGAGCATGTGGGGCATCTTCCAGCCCAGCTGCTTCAAATGCCCCGGTAAAGCAGGGTGCTACAGCCCTGGCCGTGGGCAGACTGGGCTGAGGCTGGATGCATGTTTTGCCTCATGTGGTTTGCCCTGTTTGTTGCTGCCTGATGAGCCTGAGGTGGCCAAGGCTAATGGGGAGCAAGGGCTGTAGTGCCAAGGAGGGGGGGGGGTGTCTGTCCACACACAAAGGCACGAGTGTACTGGTGCAGCATGTGGTTCTCCCCGGTCAGAGCTCTCACGAATGCCTCCTTCAGAAAGTCTGGTGGGGGGAAGTCAGGGAAGCCCTGGCCCAGGTTCACTGTGGAGTAGGTGGCAGCCAGTTTTACAAACTCCACCCTGGAGAAAAGAAAGAGAGAGAAAGACAAGCATTTACAGAGGGTCCGGGCAGCATGCTGGCACCGGCTCCGCTTGCCAGCATCCGTTTGGAAGCGAGCAAGGTTGGTGTCCCTCCTGCAGAGCCATCGTGCTGCTCACAGGTGGACAGGACCAAGGTCATTTCAGACCCATTTCAATTAAAACAAGAATGAGCCACAATTGCACTGGGGGGTGGTTTTAATTTGTTCTTGAAGGAAACAGCTGCCGTGCTCTCTGGGTGTGTGGTTGCAGCTGAAGCCACACACCGCTTCTGATCAGACCAGACCAAGCAGGAGATACCTCGGAGGTTTTCAAGCTCATACCGGTTCTGAAAAATTCCGCAACTATGCGCCATGAAGGCCTTTGCAGAGGGAAAGGCAGCCTGAACTCAGCGCTTGTCTCGCCCAAGAGCGAGCTCATTGGCAGTCTATAGCATAAAACCAGGCACAGCAGGGCTTTGAGGAAAGTCCATTTAAATATCATCTTCAAGCATGCAGTTTTCCCAATGCCATTCTGTGCCTGGCAGGCTGGGAATGGCACTTGCAGCATCCCTCTGCCTACCTCTTTGCTTGCAGTGCCCTAGGGTGGGCTTGAGGCAGACGCCAAGCTGCAGCCAGGGTGCTGCAACCACTTGGCTCAGATTTGGGTGCTGCTGGGATCATTTGGCCGGATGGGTTGGATGGAGTGCAATGCCTTACAAGGTGCTCCCACCAGCCTTCCCACAGGATGGTGTGGGACACCTGATACAACATAAAGTGTGAGCAGCAGGTACAGAACTGAGCCAGGGTAAAGTCTCCCGGGACAACTTGCCCTGATGCACTTTTCCTGAACAAATGCCAAACAGCCGAGGGAGACCGCTGCTCTGCGCCGTGTGGCTGCAGTGGTTTCCATCTGGTGTTAGGCTACCTAAAACCACATCTACCACCAGGGTAAACCAAGTATTCTCTTAACTCACCAGACATTCTTATCTATTCCCTCCAGCCTCCGAGCTTGCACTGGCCTTGACATTTTTGCCTGCAAAGAGAGAGAAAGAGAGTAAGTTTTTATTAATAGCAATGGGGCCACATGCAAAGGGGACGTGGCCTCCACATGGTTTTCCCAATAGAGGTGTGCCCTTTAGTATTGCTTCATGGGTTGTTGCTGACCAACCTTAGTGTGGATACATTCCTAGCAGAACGAGGACATCAAATCCTGACAAAGTCAGAATGCTATTAAAGGGGAAATGCTTAGCCAGTATACAGAACTTAGTTGCTAGAGTAGAGAAGCAGTAACTGCAAGCAGGATAAGATGATGACAATGAAATAACCAATGAGTGAGTTGGAGGCTTATATGCTCGTTGGATAGACAGTAGTATGTACGAATTAGAAAAGTATATGTGATCGTGTGTACAGGGCTTGGAAGAATATAAAAGCTGTATCCAAAGGTATAATAAACGGCTTCTGGAGATCATATTGGTCAGCATCAGGAGTCCGGTCTTCCGCACCTTAGGGCAGTAATGCTGTTGCAGTGGTTTCTGGAAAAAGCTTCACACACTTTTTATGAAAGATGAAACAGATGAGAGCTGGCGGAGGAGAATGTTTCATTTACAAGTTTCAACAAGAATTGAGAAAACATGAACAGAAGAAGCGTGTGTACACTCACTGGGGAGCTGGCAATGCCTTAAAAGTCATTTTCAGTTGGAATAAATCATGGGGTCAAATTGGCTCAGCCAAGCTGTAACAGCCAGGCCAATGACCCCAGACCTCAGGCTTTTGCCTTCCATAGCCTCTCCTGTCCTCCACTGGAAGCACCTCCTTGTTCTCTACAGGCCACAAAACATCCCCTTTTCCTAGAAGAAAAAACTTTTTTACTCCACACTGCTCTAAGGAGTAGCAGAAGTACTATTTGCTCCTTTGTCCTGCTGGAGCCCTTGGTGAAGGGAGTTGCTCTAGATCCTAAACAAAATGCTGGTTTCTGCACCTAAAGTCCATGGCAAAACCAGGCAGCAGTTGGGTACAGATGAGAGGAGAGCACAGCACACGGGTCAGTCTGATGGACAGAGACACCAAGATACCACTTGCCTGACTGATATCTAATTTCCATGTGCATTGTGGCTAGGGCAGGTGGGAAGGATGGTAGGAAACATTGAGAGCAAAGTCCTCCTTCCAGTCGGATAAGCACAGTGGGAGAAAGTCAGATGTGCTTGATGGGAAATTCATCATGAGGATGATGAAAAGCGGCAGAGGCAGAATTTAATAACTCAACAGCATGGGGAAAAGGTAACCAGACAGCAAAGGGACTGGAGACCGGAGACAACTGATGCTCAATGCACTAAGAAAAGCCAGTGTGGGGACATGAGGAGGATTTCTCTGAAGCAATGAGCCAAGACAATGATCATCACCATGGCAAGTAAAATACATTTGAACAGGAACGAGGAGGGCACGTAAAAGCAGCTGAGATGTGAGGTGCAGAGCTGGGATGTGAGGGGACAGGGTCTGTGCTCTGCTGTGCCGGGATGGTGGGGGGAAAACCAGTTCAGCCCCCTCCCCAGGCTCGGCTACAGCGGTAACTCCCCAGTTACCTGCTTACCTCTGCCGTTCACCAGACCTTGAAAAGTGCCCCAACGATATTTTGTGTTGAGGTCTTTGGATTTTTATACAGCTTCAGCCCTCACTAGGGATCTTTGCAAGTAACTTGCTGAGGAGCCCTGTCTTTCGGAAGGCATGGGGTGGACTCTGCGCGCCCCCATGCTGCCAGGGAGGTAGCTAAGGGTGAGCAGAAGCAGACGCCTCCCCCAGCCCCTTGCTTTGCTCTTTCTGCACAAGCTCATGGATGTTACGGTCAGCAAGATTTGATGCCTGAGCTGATTTTGGTGGGAGTAGAAGGATTCGTGGCTTGGGAAGTAAAAGATAGACGGACGTGAAATATTAACAGCTCCAGCACTGTCCTCTTGCAGTGGGGCTGCTGCTGGCCACAGTTCAGAGAATTTAACAGCATTAGCAAGTGTGATGGGGGTCAGTGGGAAGAAGGTGCTTTAAGCCTAGAAATTCCCAGTTCTGAGGAAAGGCCTTATCTGCTCCAGCCCTTTCAGGAAGTGAAATGACAAATACTTTCTTCTTTTGACACCTCCCCCCATCCCATCCCCAGCCTGCGTGATGCTGTCATGGGCGGCTGCTGCTGCTGTGAGCAACACAGGCTTGGGACCACGCAGCCCCTGTTTCAGGCTGTTCTGTTCCCCAAACCAAATGATGCGTTTCTCCAGTTGCAATCTGCCTGGCAGCCAGACAGGATGGTTGAGTGCAAATGTAGAAGACTTAGCAGCCACGACCTTCCACCACTGACTCCCTGCCGGACGTGATTTCCTTGCTCTTCATTTTTGTACCTCCAAGAGGGATGCTGATATTTCCCAAGTACTTTGCAACCCGAACGGCTTTAGCAGAAGAGACCATCAGATGAGGCAACCCCACAAACAATGAGCTTTCTTCTGTATGAAGAATATTGTCTTGCTTATGAGATGTTCTCTTTAAACAGGCTACCTGGAAATAAGCAGTTATAGAGGAGAGTGCACCAGTCTGGTTTTTCCTATGTGCCCTATCTGCCATGGCTGCCGAGGCTAGCTCCTAGCAGTGAGCACCCCTGGGCTCCCTGCCACTGCAGCCTGCAGGGACCAGGCTGCCAGCCAGGAACAGTCACGCTGGGCATTCAATACCTCGCTGGAGTACGAGCTATATCCAACGCTGCTCTTCCTCTCCAGCAAGAAGTGACGCAGAGACGATCCCGTTATCCTGAGCATGCCACAGCTCCTGCTGTCTCACTCCTACACGCATGGACCTGCATTTCCCCCGGACACAAAGCAGAGGGGTGAGACAATCGCTCCACGGCTGCAGGGGTAAAGCAAACACTCCGTGTACCCAGGGACGAGGCAGGTCCAGACCCAAAGCTGTGGTTATTCTACCACAGAAAGGAAAAGGGGGAATGAGCTGCTTTGTGTGTTGTTGCTGCAACATCAAACAGCGCTGGGACCATACTTAATGCTCACGATACACACAAAGCCAGCGTCACAAGAACAACCATGGATTCTGCCTCCTCTGTCCCCAATTCCAGGCTCCTCCCACTTTCCCCTGCACTGGGGGGAGTGATACGGACACCAGTGAGAAGGTATCCTCTGGGAATTTGTATTCAACATCAGCTTCCCATCCAGTTCCATTGATCCCAGCTATCTCTTGCCTCTGCCCTTCCTCCCCTGCAGCACCTCCACCTTCCTCACCGGTGGGGCTGTGCCTTGGCAGGGCTGTGAGCACACCCTGCCTTTTGGGGCTGGCAAGTGAAACAAGGGACCTTAGGGAATGTACGCTGGGCAAACCTACTCCACACAAACCCATCTCTTCCTCTTCCTTCATCTTCTTAAGGTTACAAAAAAAAAAAAAAAAAAAATATCAAAGCAAGAGTGCTGCTATTTTTGAGACTCTCTGGCCTCTCAGCTGCTGCAACTCCAAGCTGCTTAGTCACAAGTTTTATTCTGATTAACAAGATGTCAGCTTCCATCTCCAAAGTGATTTTGGTGTTTACCTTTCCTTCAAGGCCCCAAACAAATTAATTTCTGTGCCTGATGCAGCCTGTCCCTTCACCTTAGGTCCCCACAACTGTTCTACAGCATTGCTTAAACATGCGGTATTTAAGCTAAAATACGTTAATGTTTTGTTAGGTACTTGAGATAAAAGTGATGAGTCTGGAGGACGCATGCACCTTTATTTTGATCAGCCATGGATTAATTTACCCAGCTGCTAAAAAATAAATTAAAACAGGTTTGAAGCTGGCCAGCCCACAGGTAAGTTCTCAGTACTGCTAGGTGCACTTTCCATCCTTACATGCAGGATGTGAGTCCCCACTGTTTGCATTTTGTGTTATTTCTAGCAAAAGTGCAAAGCGGCTGCCAGCTGAGACCGGTGGGGTTTTTACATCTCTTTGCCCAGGTGGGAAAAAACAGCACAATTTATGGAAAAATGGGAAGCCACAGCATAATATTGCTTGGGACTGCAAAATACCCACCTTGTCCCTGTGTGTGGGACAGCTGCATGTCGCGGACAGGCACTGAGATGTGGGGGGGACACTGCTTTGGGATGCAAAGCAAACGAGTACTGGAATGAGGGGACTAACCCTGCAGGTGACAAAACAAAAGTGTGGCAGTAAAAAGGGCTTCACTGGATTACAGAAAACCACAGAGCTGACATAAGAGCTGTATGCAAGGCTTCAGCAAAGAGCTGGAGGCAGCGCTGGGGTCAGGATGCAGCTCCCAGTGGGAGCAGCCGACTGGGGCTAGGGCAGAGGGCTCTGCCTCACTTCCCCAGCCCTGGACAACGTTTTGGAGCGGGGTCAGCCGCCAGAGAGCCAAAAAGCTTGGGAAAGGTTCAGGAAGCCTCTCTCCTGGTTGGACATTTCAGGCTGTGCTGTACGTGTGCTCCCTGCACGGGAGCCGGGGCACCTCTCACCCTGGTGGGGTGCACAGGACGGAGCACGCTAAAGGATTTCGGAGGTGACAGCTGAAAGGTCACTGCAGGGACCGGTCACTCACCACCTCCTGCTGTCCAGCCCGCGGGCACCAGCTGCCTCCTCTGCCCCAGTGTTCCCCAAGCACCTCTGCGGTGCTAGCCAGCCTGGCTGCTCGCAGGTACACCCAAAAGGCTTTGGGAACAAGGGTGCCCCTGAACCCGTCACACCGTGGGGTACAACACAGCGGGAGCAACAGCCAGCAAGCGCACAACACGTAGGCGCAAGACAGTTCCTACAAGGGATGGGGGTGGTAAAACCAACTTACATCAAGGTGGGCCGTGCTGCCTTACGCTGCAAAAGCCTGGCACAACCGCCCAGGCTGCACTTGCACTCATGCCGCTCTCTCCCTGTCCCTGAAATGCTTCATCTGCGGCTGGGACTTCCTGGGAGGAGCCGGAGAGGCTGCTGGGGGAAAACAGCTACAACGCTTGGATAGGTAAAATCCTGCCTGGGAACGGGAGATCTCGGGTCGCTCTCTAAAGCAGCAGATTGAGGGAGGAGATGGCTTTTGGGAGCAGGTCCCTTCCTCCCAGAGGCTTGGAGCAGAGATGCCAGAGGATTTTGGCTGCCTGGGAAAATGTGCCAGCATGTTGTTCAGATGGAGGCTCATACCGGCATAATTACAGTGGGATAATTTTTGTGGTGTGGCTATAATTACTTTGGCATGGCAATGACTGGGAATTTCCCTTTGAGTGAAGCCTTCAGTCATTTTGAAAAATGAATTTTTGAGTCAGTCAGACACTCTCACAAATTTCACCCTGCAGGCTTAATGTTATCAGGGACGAGCATGGATCACAGGTACAGCAGCTGAAGGCATCAGCATTAGGTTCATCAGAGGACAATGACCAACCGTCCATGGCACAACCTAAAGCAGGATCCTGCAGCATCATCTGAGCCCTGGGCTGTGGATGGGCAGGGAGACAGCAGCCTCCGTGGGGGATTCAGTGCATGGATGCAGGAGCTGAACTCCCCAGCAGTTGTTTGAGAGGTGGCAATTGCTCAAGTGAGGTGTAGAGGGAAAAATTGTCCTGTCTCGGCTTCCCTCTTCCTTTTGTGACAAGGCATTGCATGCACCGATGAATCAGGTCGTGCAGCTCTCTTGAGTGAATAATTAGTGTCTCCCTTTCACAGTGGGAAAAAGTGAGCCACAGGGAAAGGAAGCGCCTGACATCCGCTGTGCCAGAGGTCCCCAAATCCTAACCTGTTGTGGGCTCACAGCATCCCTGCCATGACTAAGCGGGAAGGAATGTCGGTGCGGGCAGACGCAAGCTCTTTGTTTTCTAAACTTCTGTTTAACTCAAACACTGAAACAAACAGATGGAAGGAAAAGTTGTGTTTGCTTCCACAAGAATGTACACGGCACATCCTGAACCATCTCAGTGCTCAGTGCCATTTTCTCCTCTCCATCCTGCTGCCCCCACCATGCTTTCTTTGCCCCCTCCTCTGCCAGCCTTGCACCTTCCCTGGTTGTTGCTTGCCCTGGAGCTGAGCTCACCTGACTACCTAAATTAGCAGAAAGCTAACCTGGCAGAAAAGCGGACAGTTTTCTGTGAGGTCTGTGAGTTGAAATGGCTCAGGGCAGGGTGGGTATGAGTGTTAAAGGCACTGCCAGGAAAAGAGATCTGGGTAGGGGCCAGAGCAAAACGGAGTAGGGAGAAGAAGGGATGGACAAGACCACGAGCCCCTGCCTTCTTTGTCAGGATTTGGCCTTTGTATTTGTTCAACAGTAACATGTAACTTCACCTTAATGACCTCTTGAAATTCAGCAGAAATCTGTGGATAATATGCATGCGGCCAGCAAGGAAAAAGACACTGTCTGACCTTCTTGGAGTCTGTACTGTTAAAACTCAAGGAAAATTAGGACCTTCTCTTTCTTCAAGTCATTTTAATTTAACAAGTGCATCTAGACATGAACAATTCTTCTTAATGATGTATTTTTTTAAGTCTAGCTATTGCACTGGGCTGGTGAATGTCTAACAACACTGTCCCCTGGCAGGTGGGATCGTAGCTTCTCTGGTGCAGGTCCTGTGCCTATGGCTACAGGATGGTGCTAAGACCTGCACTGTTCCTAGAAAGCCTCAGATATGCTTATTTTACTATAGCAGTGATCACTGGTGTATACAAGTTAAAATTGGCTGCACTTAACCACTCAGAACTGCCTCTTGTACACTAATGAAAATATAATGAATGCCTTTGAACCATCCTTTATGAATTTTTAAAAAAATGATGCTGCCCAGTGTCCTCCAATGAGTCAGACAAATGAAAATAAACATTAGTGAATCAGCCTGCTTTTTTCAGGTACCACAAAACGACTGTTGGATATATCCTGTAACACACCAACGTTACTATTCCCGCTGCGAGGAGACAAGCGCTGTGTTTTTCAGTGGCCTTAGTTTGGTGAGCTGTTGTTTGAGAAATGGAGGGGGGTTTTCAAAATATTCCACTTTAGAAACGTCACATAGGTTGGTTCTTAAAGAAAAAGTGGTAAAAGCTGCAATTTAAATTATTTTCATTCTCTTACTGTTAACTAGCCTTAAATGTTGATGCTAGTCATAGCCACTATTTTTTATTTGAGGCATCCAGAGGAATGCTCACCAGATTTTTTCCGCTGATCTGGCCCATGTGCCCTCCGTCCCTAAATACGGATGATGCCTGCGACCTCGTTTATTGCTCGGTGGTTTTGAAGAATTGGGCATGCATCAGAGTTTTGCGTTGGCGTGGGTGCGTGAGAGGAAGACCGAGTGGTCAGGCCTGGGCTACAGGCACAGCCACAGAGTGAGGCAGATGAAGTGGATTTTAACCATTTAGGAGTTAAGGGATGGGTTTAATGACACCTGCGAGGAGGTAGGGCCCTGACAAGGAAAGACGCAGCCTCCTTTTTGTCTGTGAGCCTGGAGGTGACGCACACCAGGTCCAGACAGCCGAGCCGACGCTCCTCTTGGGGCTCCATGTGGCTTGAGCCACACCAAGGGGCTAAAAGTGACACAATGTGATGTCAAGGCATGGCAGCTATCATTTTTTACCCCTTTCACAGCAATGATGCATGCCTGAATCAGGGCCTGAAGCTGTCTTTGGCAGGCCTGGCTTTCCCCCCTGTTCTTCCTGAGGGACAGAGGCTGCCATCCCTCAGTGCCATGGGCTGTGAGACCGAGTTGCTGTACATAGAATTACATTAAATGAAATAATGACAGGAGGCTTGATCTTGGTTTGGTCATAAACCTTAATAAAGAGGTAGTTTTGGGGGGTTTTAACAAAAATTGTCAGTTCTGGACTCCAAAACCCTGCTGTCCTGCCACAGCAGGTGAAGGCGCTCAGCTTCCCACCTTCCGCTTTGCCTGCCCACAGCTGACGCTGGAATTGTGGCGGCCTCTTTAAGACGCTCGCCATTTTGCGCGCTGCCCTGCACCAAGATGGCGCCCCCG